AACAAAGAAAAACTAGTACCAAAAGAGCAAAAGCTAGAAGAAAGTAAAAGACCACCGATCCGATGGTTCTATTTTTTCACGGAAAGCCTAGCAAAAAGGACTCATCGGCCACGTCTGCGAGCGACTGAGAAAAACGGAAGTCTGAAGGGTGACCTCTCAAGTCATTCGAAGATCAACACGAGTACAAGCGACAGGTGATATAGGAAGTAGAGCGGGAGTGAAAATGAAGATGAAAGAGAAAATGATAGGTGGTCTGGTCTTTGATCGCTAAAATTCCTCTTCAAACACGGAAGTTTCTAGAGTTGTAAACAAGCCATGTCGCTCGTCACATCGTTCTGTGAACAGTATAAACAAGCCAGAGGTTCACCTCGCGACAAAACGAATAAAATGCTGTTAAAAACTATTGAAAGCAAAACGATCTCATAAGAGCAATACTTCGGCACTTGACGGTCCGTCTTCACGAGAAGTGCAGATCACAGTACATAAAAATGTGCTAGTTGAGCTATTTTATTTCCTAAAGCCCGAGACAAGCCTAGCCAAGGCTTCTCCGGGTCGTCATCACATGAGTGCAGTCGCTGGCCCTTGTAGATCAGAAGGAGACTACCACCTTGCGATAAGTCACTACCACAACGGCGGTCATTCCTGGTACGGTTTACTCCTAAATGCGTAGAAACATCGGACCGGACTTCTCAGTTGGCGGGCCCCGCTGAAGGGTTGAACCTCCCGTTGTACTTTGCATTCCGATACTCAAAAAGACCTCCTAGCCACGACGAGAGAATTAACCGCTTAGGAATAGAATATCAACAATAAAAAGAGCATTAATAAAAGTATAGCAGTTATAGTGGGAGTAATAGCAACAAAAATTATAGTAATTAGATACCCATTGATGTAGAGCGATGTGCAAATCTTTCGCGTTAGGCGGGACTAGAACCCTCACCTCACTCTTTCCACGAATGCGTGCTCTATCCGTTACACTAGTGACGCCCATTTTACACATCGCTCTTTTCACGCTACAGCGCATCTATTGGTAAGAGGATAATTATAGTAATAATAGACCAGTAATCTCATTGGTGAACTAACATCAACATCTGGTTCTCCCCATTTATGAGACTTGTTCATTATCCTCTTACCAGTAGAACTTCAACTGAACTCACTCTTTTCTAGTGAGTATTTTTCGCTCCTATTTGGTCCACTTTCGAACTTCAAGAGAAAGATCGAGAAAGGAAACTTCAAAATAGTCTATGCGAATGTTTGAAGACTTTACAAGGCTGGTATGTCAGTGGCAAACGTACGCTGGGGTGGTATCACCCGTTTCATCAAAGCCACACGCCTCATAGAGAACCCTACTTTATAGCAGGATGGGGAGACGTTATGGTGATAGCACGTGATAATTTTATATTCCTATTTCTGCTATCAAGTGGGATTCAGTGTGGGGCGTGTGGCACTGACGAAGCGGGCGATACCGCCGAAGCCTTCGTCTCTTACTGAGGTGTCCACCTCGTGAAGGCTTCAAACATTCTCACAGACCATATTGAAGCCTCCCTTTTCGATTACTCTCTTAAGCTTTGATTACTGATGAAATATAAGCAGAAAAAATTGCATTAAGAAAATAGTGAGTTCAATTCAAGTTCTCATGGCAAGGGAATAATGAACGAGTTTCATCAGTCGGGGGAACCAGATGCTGTTGTTATAACCAATGAGATTATTGCACTACTATTACCATAACAACAATTATTCTCTGCGAGAATGTCTGAAGCCTTTTCGAGGTTGATACGTCAGCAGCATACGTACTTCCGGCGCTATCGCCCGCTTCATCAGTGCCACACATTCCACACTGTACCCTTGCAGGGATAGAGAGACGTTATGGTGAAAGCACGTGATACTGTTATATTTCCATTCCTGGTGTAAAACCTATGGAAAAATGGTGATAACACGATACCATGTACTATCACCGAAACGTCTCCTAATCCCATTTATGAAGTAGGGTTCAGTGTGGGGCTTGTGGCACTGATGAAGCGGGCGATATCGTCGAAACTCGCGCATACCACTGACGCATCAACTTCGAAAAAGCTCTAAACATTCTCACAAACTATTTCAAAGTTTTCTTTCCCGATCTTTCTTTCGACGCCTCAATATCGATAAAACAGAAGGGAAAAAACTATTTAGAAGAGTGTAAGTAAGCCTCCCTCTTCGAAGTTGGTAAGTCAATGGGAAACGTACGTTCCGGTTGTATTACCCGCTTCATCGGTGCCACACGTCCCACGCTGTCTGTACCCTCTTCATTGCAGAGATGGGGAGCCGTTTCGGTGATAGCACGTGACACTGTTATATTCCCACTCTTGATATAAAATCGACTGAGAAACGGTGATAACCCCATATTACGTACTATCATCGAGATGGCTCCCAATCCCAGTTATAAAGCAGGGTTCAGTGTGGGGCTTGTGGCACTGATGAAGCGGGCGATATCGTTGAAACACACGCATACCACTGACGCATCAACTTTGAAAATGCTTCAGACATTCTCACAGACTATTTTATAGTTTTCCTTCGCGAACGATCTTTCGACGTCTCAATATCGATAAACCAGGAGGGAATAAATTTTGGAAGAGTGTAAGTTCAGTTCAAATTCTATGGGTATGAGAACTATGAAGAAGTTTGATCAGCACGGAAAACCACGTGCTGCTGTTACTTTACCAAGATCATTAAATTACTATTATCATTGTCACTGTTCTCTATGAGGATGTCTGAAGCCTCTTCGAAGTTGGTAAGTCAATGGGAAACGTACGTTCCGGTTGTATTATCCGCTTCATCGGTGCCACACGTCCCACGCTGTCTGTACCCTACTTCATTGCAGAGATGGGGAGCCGTTTCGGTGATAGCACGTGACAATGTTATATTCCCACTCTTGATATAAAATCGACTGAGAAATGATGATAATCCCATGTCACGTGCTATTACCAGAACGTCTCCCCATGGCAGCTATAAAGTAGGGCTTAGTGTGGGGCGTGGGCCACTGACGAAGCGGGCGTTACCGTCGAAAGGCACGTATACCACTGACGTATCATCTTCGACAAGACTTTAAACATTCTCACAAACTATTTTGAAGTTTTCTTTCCCACATTTCTTTCGACGTCTCAATATCGATAAAAACAGGAGTAAAAAAATGTTTAAAAGAGTGTAAGTTCAGTTCAAGTTCTATGGGTATGAGAATTACAAACAAGTTTGATCAGTACGGAGAACCATGTGCTGCTGTTACTTTAGCAAGATCATAGGATTACTATTATCATTATCACTGTTCTCTAAGAGAATGTCTGAAGCCTCCCTCTTCGAAGTTGGCCACGTCAGTGGCAAACTTACATTCCGGCTGTATCACCCGCTTCATCGGTGCCACACGTCCCATACTGTACCCTACTTAATAACTGGGATTGAGAGACGTTTCGGTGATAGCACGTGATATTGTTATATTCCCATTCTTGTTATAAAATCGACTGAAAAATGCTGATAAACCCATGTCACGTGCTATTACCAGAACGTCTACCCATGTCAGCTATAAAGTAGGGTTCAGTGTGGGGCGTGGGCCACTGACGAAGCGGGTGATACCGTCGAAACGCACGTATACCACTGACGCATCAACTTCGAAAAGGTTTGAACATTCTCGACAAAGTAGATGCTTATAGCGACGTTCAAAAACAATCGGTTGTAGGGAAAACTTTAAACTTCGAAACAACGCAAAGATTGAAACACACGGAGAATACTTTGACCTTCCTTTAGCCTCAGGGCATTCTTTATCAATAACACTTTACTCCGCAATTTGGCTAATACCACGAGGCTGAAACGAAGATTTCTTCAGCCGGTGTGTGGACGTCCTCGGCTTCTCCGTCAAAGGCAATGATTCGGCTTAAATCTGTCATCTAACTTGCCGTGAAAAGAGTCGTCTTTCGGATTGTCTGATAGGACAGTCTGCGATTGTGCGACATGTCCGTTTGGTAAGAAGAAGCTGGCCGTATTATCTCAATCAATCAATAAATCAATATCTGCCAACATAGACAGAGGACAGCAGCAATGACTTCAAGGCCACGGTAACTGTGACTGATCGACTAGTAAGGGGTAGGAGAGCCTGTTCAAAGAAAATACTCATAAAAATCAAAGCAAATTTTCGCTTCAATTGAGGGAAAATACGAAATGAACGGGGGAAAAAGGCAGAAAAAAAAAGACTACGCAAACAACAACGAGCAGAAAATCACTGAAGAGCACAATTGACGTCGATGTTCATCCCAAAAAAAGGAAGGTGACGTCACTCGCTATGTGAGGAAGAAAAGGATGAAAAAGAAAGAAAAAAAGAGATGAAGAGGAAGAGAGAGAGACTGAATAATGACGGACGGGTCGGGCCAAAGTGATGGTTAGCTCGACGATCAACCAGGCGGTTCCCCCTCCGCACCCCGTCGTCCGTCCAACAGCTGTCGTCCGCCGCCGGCGGCATATTGACCGGCCGAAATCAGACTCGTGTCCAAACAATCGCTGCAGGACCCACACGTCTCGCCCCAAAGTCAATAGCGCAGTGGTTTATAGGACGGTAAGTCAAGATGCAGCATGGGGAGCAGGGCTCTGGTTCGATCCCCTCTTCCAGCACTTTCTTGCAATCAGTTAGCCAACGCCTCAGGGAGTGCTTCGGCTCGATTGTCTCCGAGATTAGAAGGAGAATCGTCTCGATGGGCATTCTCCGCCATTCATTAAGAAGACGAGAAACTCTAGCTGCAATCGCAGTGACACGTAAGAAGTTCGAGGACCCTTGTGATGGGCGAATGTGAGGAAACAATGCAAGAAGTGCTGGGATCCACACAATGAATGGTGCCGAGGGGTCTTATAAAAAGGCGATCCGTTTTACAAGGCTGGTCGCGCCAACTGCCGCGCGAGCGAGAACGCGACGACGCCTGCCTACCAACGGTTGTCATCAAAGGATAATAATAGACCTGAGCGATTTGAGTGGTAAGCAAAAACTCTACCTCAGACGGGAGCCGACCCGCGTTTCATCCATACCGGGGACGCGTGCTACCACTACCCCACTGAGGTCACCACTCATTCTTCAATATCTGCTCATCATAGCTATCTGGGATTATAGATTGACATTGCTTAGCCGACGAAACCTGTTGATGGTTGGTGGCTGATAGCTATGACAGAGAGATATTGAAGAATGAGTGATGAGTAAGCGGTGGCCTTGGTGGTGTAGTGGTCGAAGGCGTCCCCAGTATGGATGAAACGCGGGTTCAACTCCCGTCTAAGGTCGTATCCCTGCTTACCATTCAGTTCTCCTAGGTATATTTGAAACATCTTGACACTGTGAAAAAGCAGTGAAGGCATAAGAAATCTTGTTATAACAGAGTCGAAAATAGGCTTTCACATGCACACTGACTTCTGTTCGAGAAGGAATTCCATTACCACTGTCGTTGTCCATCTATGAAGGGATCACCAGCGTGGTCGATGATCATCGAGTGACTCGATCGGACATCAGTAAAGCTCCGAATTCTGCAAGGGTGGCCTAGGGTCCTTCTCGCTTCAGGAATTCGCTAATCGTCATATCGTTCTTCTTCTAAGCCTAGAAGAGAGACCCAGTAACGTCTAGCATTGTAGACGAAGGTTTCTTACGAAGTCTTCAAGACGTCACACCACTGACGCCGCAGTGGTGTCCATTTTCTGTTCATTAGGCTCCGCAGACGTTTTATGATAACTTCGTGTACGGTCATTCGACAGCAAATCAAAATAGGAGGAATGAAGCAAAAAAAGTCACTATCTACACTCAATCAGTTATAAGAAAACCCTCTCGGCAAGAGTACATCAATCGGTAATTTGACGAGCAATTAAGTGTTCTTCATGTGAATTGCATTCGTCATTCTATGGAACGTGAGGGCATAAAAAGTGCTGAAATAGACTGACGAATTGATTCTTGTATCGCAGTAAGAGAACCAGCAGAACAGGAGCAGCGGGTGCACTGGTTAGCAGGGCCCCTGTAGAGGTTGAGACAGCTCAACTCCAGCCTGAGGTTTTAGGCTCTGTATATCACTCAACATTCTTGTTCAAATAATTATATAATTTATAACTCTGATAAAAGCTGTGAATAAACCCTAAGGGACGGCTATCGAAATCGATATACGCGCAGAGCGAATAGCGCGATTTTCGTTATTCAATTGAGGATTTTTTTTTCCTTCGGCAAAAATTCTGGAATTCTTGTATTACGTTGATAGAACAATATTTCCTCTACTCGCTCATATGCTTTTGGTTTAATGACACGTGTCTTCTGTAAAGAAAAATGCTGGTTTACTACGCAATAGCATTGAATTTGGCATTCAATCAAATGTATTGTATTGTATTGTACAAAGCGGATCACAAAGAAAATGTTTGGTTTTGCTCTTCCCTAGTTGGATACAAGACCCAAGAGTCATCATAGTAGATAAAAATTGGAGAACAAAACTAATCCATTAAATCGACTGTTTCAAAAACCTCGTAATAAACATTCAAAATCAACTCCAAAAAAAAAGAACGTTTTTAGCCTAACACGAGGTTGGTACGCCAGGGCCATACACCGGTGTTTCGGAGGCTCGTCCTCCTCGTCAGTGACCCCCGTCCCCACATTAAGCCCTGCATTGTAGCAAGGAGGGAGGCGTATGTGGTATGTGGGTGATGACATGGTGTACAATATACTGGTCCATCACCATCAGTCGATGGTTTCGTGCTGGTAGACCAAAACTAATCCATTAAATCGACTGTTTCTAAAACCTCGTAATAAACATTCAAAATCAAATAAAAAAAAAGAGTTTACGAGGTTTTAGAAACAGTCGATTTAATGGATTAGTTTTGGTCTACCAGCCGAAACGATCGACTGATGGTGATGGACCAGTATATTGTACACTATGCCATCACCACATACCACATACGCCTCCCTCCTTGCTACAATGCAGGGCTTAATGTGGGGCGGGGGTCACTGACGAGGAGGACGAGCCTCCGACACACCGGTGTATGGCCCTAGCGTACCAACCTCGTGTTAGGCTAAAAACGTTCTTTTTTTTTGGAATTGGAGAACAGTTAGTAATTTGTCAAAAATGATTATGCACGCTGTATTTGATACGTGTTCATCGAAAACTCTCATTATAGCTAAGTTTATAATAATCGATTATTTCCAATTGTTCAGAGTTGATGTATGTGAGAAAAAGTTGAGAATCTTTGAATAGTGGAGAAATTCTGAGTGGGAAGGGGCAACCGTGTTTGAAATAAAAGGCTTAGAATATTGGCATCATGAAAAACTATTGGTCAGAAATATGGGTCTCCAGAGAAGTATTCGTGGTACTTTTCCCCCGTCCGTGCGTATATTCAAAAAAAAACTTTTCATTCCTTTTTTAGGTTTTACTAATTATTTGACAGCTTGAATATCAATAATCCAGAACGTTGTTTTAGTTTTCAAATAGTCTTGTTAATACTGCAAAATTGTACAATTTTCTTTCACACTCAAGCATCTTTTACTGGACAGAGGTTCTAATTCAGACTTTCAGTAGCCATTCCATAGTACAAATCAACACGATCTCAATGATAAGTTGGTTTTTGAGAAGGACGTCTGAGTGCGTTGTTACAGCTAAACAAATTGCGAATTATTGAGTTACAAATTATTGTCACACTTGGCCGTGTCAATCGCGCAGCGCAATTTACACGCGGCGTGCGTTGCGCGCCAAGTGTAAAACCTGATATTCTTTTAGCTGTGACGACGCACTAAGAAGTTTTCTCAAACCTAAGCATATCCTCGAAATTGTTAAGATTTATGCTGTCGAATGGATGTGAAAGCTTCAGAGAAAAGCCCTGCTTAGTCAAAAAATACTCAGATATACAACACAGTTTTATTCTTAATGCTATAACTCTCAGAGAGACTTTGTTCAAAACGCAAGCACACTGTTGACATTCAGAAGATTTGAGCTACCGACTGGGTGCTGAAAGGCGATACAAATGCACAATAGGGATTGAAAATTTGTTTATTTTTTTTACACAGATGTGGTATTACCGCTGATAAATGAAGGATTTCAAGAGAAGTAGCCACTCTATATCAAAAAACCTCTGTAAAACGCCCGTTCTTAATATTTCATTCTTTGAGTAGCGAAAAGACACTGTGACGTATAAAATTTATCAATAATAACCAAGAAACCGCCTATGACGTCCAAGCGGCGAGGTAACATTTTAAATGTGAAATTTAATCTTCTTTTCTTTTACTCTTTTTTTCTTTGATCTTCTTTTCTTTTTTAATTTAATCTTTTACTGCGTTCTATGATAACCTTCCAAACAGATTAATTACATAATTTAAATCAGACATACGTTTGAATCACAGAGAGTTAAGCTTTCGAATAGTTTCCAAGTCTCTAAGAGTGAAGTTTTGTCCAGCAAGAAAAACCTTCAAACAATCGTTTAGCTCAGCTGCTACTCATCCTCCCTCAGGGCTTAAGGAATTCATCTACATGCGTTACTCATTCAGAAATCTCTTCACTGATGCAAGAGAGTTTCTAGGTTTCTCGTATTAGAATTGCAGAAGGAGTTTATCTCATCGTTCTATAAGTACCACCTTTATTAGACCCTACACTGCCAAATGAAAGCGCTATGAGCTTCAAGCGATGGGCTAGCTACTTCAGGGATGAGACGCAATATGGAGACATTTCTAACATATAGTATCTATTTAACCTTACTACGCGCCTTGTAGGTATAATCAATTACATATCTGCTGCATATATCGTCGTTCTACATGCAAATCGAGCAATCGCCGTCGGCTATAGCATCAAAGGATACTGTCAGGAGCAAACGATATGTGACGTCCCAAGCGCACCAGGCGACCTAACCAGGTGATTTGTCCACTTCGTGACAAACCCCAGATTTTTCCATCATCTTAAGTTCATAGTGCTAGCATCAGTTCATAGTGCTAGCATCATTTACCCATTCGTCTCATATTACGTTCATTATGTGGTCGTTTGATAATTTTTAGCCCTTGTAAACGCGTTCTCTCACTTCCACAATACTCTATGAACCTATTAAAAAGTACCTAATCTAACTAACTATTGCCTTTAACATCCATATTTACTTCTCCTTCAATTACTTTATAAAGTAATCTTAGGCATTGGCTTAATCTTCTAATATGTTCATTCTTTCCTTCTAATTATAGACTGTGTAAGAAGTTCGTGCCGTTTTGGTTTTTTATATGATTTTTGCAATGAAAGTGCATGATTTTGATATCGTCCAATTGCGCATTCTTTCACAACATTTTGGCATACAACTTGCTTTGAGATGGAGCTGTCTAGGGAACAAATTTGCTTGCTACATAGCGCTTGAGGCAATGACAGTTTCATAGAGGACGGCTAGAAGTTCGCGAAGTTCAAAGCTAAAGGGAACAGTCTGGAGGATCAGTCGCATTCGGGCTCTTCGCACGAAGTTTATCGTTAAGCTGTGCTTGAGAGGTCGACTGGCCGCTTCACTAGCATTTTCCCTACGTCTCATTCGTGTATGATAAGTATATGACAATTTCATTGCAAAAATCATAGTAAAAAAGCAAAATAGCACAAACTTTTTACACAAGCTATTAACCGCTCGATAGCCTAATGTTTCTCCAGTCCCTTATCTTTGTAGAAAATCAGTGTTGACCCACTCACTTCTATGGTAACATTAATTTTAGTCGTACAAATCGTAGAAACTGGTGAATTGACACAACGTTTCGAATCTAGCACGCTAATCATGGGTTGTATATAATTTCTGTTTTACGTATATTATTACCGCGGTGTTGTTACTTATAATTATTGGTATAAGGGCTTAATTATTCAAGGTTTGATTGTACAATATCTACGCGTAGCCTTTCCTTCTCTCTCAAAGGTCTTTGAGGAAATCTTCCCAAAAAACCACCTTCAGCTTCAGAATCACCGAGTTTGAGCTATCGAACAACTACGAAAAGTCAAACGATAATTCGTTCATAGACCCTGTCATGCGTACCGATGGTAAAGCATGATTTTTTTTCTCACTAGCACAGCGCACTAAGAGCGCCGCCTTTTTTATAAGCAATTGCATTATGGAATTGCCATTTCTCAAGCTATCGAATGGCTACCCAAAATCTGATTGAAAAGCTCTGGGCAGCAAAAAGTTCAAGGGAGTACCCGTGCATTCAAATGAATGCAAGCCGTCTCCAACAAACGCTCCTTAAAACCGCTCGCTTCCTCCTGCTCAACTCTAGAGCTAGGTCGTTCATCATATTGACTTCTCGACTTGAAAAAGAC